AATTATCAGATTAGATTTATGGGTAAATCACCTAACCCTAATTAGTTGATTGCTATTTATATTTGGGAGGGGGGGATTATTTTGCACGGGATTTGTACAAACGATCCACCCTGTAACTAATATGGTTTCCAGCCTGCCTCGTGTCTGTTAGATGAAAAGAGTAACAAATGTGAAGTCTTTGCTGTTTACGCGAGTAAGCAACTGACACCGTGGTACATTGCATGAAAGTTTTGTCGGGGCAGGTGTTAGCAGATGTCATTTCGTTGCCGATGAATTCGCTTGTTTTAATTAAACATGAATTCGCTTAAAGGGAACTCGGAAAAGGCTTCTCTTTAATTCATAATATTAACCGGAGGAGCGATTTTTCGAGTATCTATGCCGTTTTAAATGGGTTATATGAAAGGCTAGGGCACCTAACTTGTTAAAATCGGCAAAAGCACTTTCGCACTTTTTTTTTCGACTGCGAAACACTTTCGCACTCATAATTTGCTTAGAGTTAACACTGGTGTGCAACCTTTAAGTTTATCGAAAGAAAGGTAAAAAGAATGCATGAGTTTATCGAAGATTTGAGTTAATTATCTTAAAAATTGGGTGAATTGCTAGAATTTTTTGGTAGGTATTAGAAATAATGAGAAAGCAATATAGACCTAATCTATTTCATAAGGCAATTTTCATATAAAACTCCATATTATTTATGACTAATTTTATTAATCTGATGCAAGAAAGGCAAGACAAACGGGGTACAAACTCTTTTTTCTACCTGACGTCAAGAAGTGATGGTAACTTTTTCCGACCCAACATCCATTCCCAGATCATTATTGTTCTAAATTAATTAGTCTTCGGGTTTTTAATAAAAAATGCATAGATCAGCATAATATCAATATGCATTGCATAATACAGAGACAAAAAATCGAATATATTCCATAAAAAATTGGGAACAGGGTGGCCCAAATACAGAAACCTACTTGTACAAAAATTAAAGAAATTTATTTAACACTCGAACTTCTGTTTGTGTATGATCGTAATCAAAAGTTAAACGAGAATATTGGTCAAAGACCAAAGACTTATCGATCGAAAGTTAGGGAATCCCCAAAACAGCGCTCTTACTTCATAGTGACATCTTGTGTCCCATCACTAATTAATTAATAACTCGCTAATTATACAACATAATTCATCCAAAATCAATAGGCTTCTGGTAGGACATATGATGAATGCACATGCGAAATCTGGAGCAGATTCAATCTCGCTTTCGTGAGATATCGCGTGCATCTAACAGGCAGACAGACAAACATACAGACAGACAAATACCTATCAACATACTTACTGATTGAAATCGATAAGTAATAATCTAGACTGCTTTGCTCTCTAGAACAGTGATTCTCAAACAGTGGGTGCGCACCACTATGAGGACACAGACAACTTTTTGAATGGCGTGCAGCTAATAAAAAATAAACATATTTGTTAGAATTGATCTGGCACACGTTATTTTGGATAGGTACATTTACATTTATTTCCTTATTTACGTTCCATCCACATATTTTCAACGTGTTTTTTTAATAAAACATTCGCCTTACTATCCGGTATTTGTAGCTAATTGTTAGCTAGTTATTTTTGAGGTGGGAACAAACATGACAAATTCTGAAAAGGGGCGTGGCTTAAAATAGTCTGAGAACCACTGCTTCTATGTTTCAAATGTCTTGTTTCTTAGGTGACCATGTACTAACTACATCATAAAAAAATTTGTTCAAAGCAGATAACACACTCATTAAAAGGTAATAAAAAGAATAGATGTGCAATCAGGTGTAATATATATATCATAATTATGGAAATATCAAAAGATTAGAATAAAAATAAATATTTTTCTGTGTAAAACATTTATTCATACATTTTGCTGTAAACAAGTCCCTATACAACCGGCCACTGTTACCTTATGGAGCTCATTTTTATCAACTCACACAGCTGGGGCATACCCAGGGGGAGGAACATTTGGGGTCTCGCCCCTCTCTCTTTTAAAATTTGAAAAATATTCATTTTACCCTCTAAAACCAGGTTTTGGGATCCGCTGGCTGTTGCGTTCAATTATTTCAAAACCCCCCCTCCCCCCCCCCCCCCCTTCAAAAGTCCTGGCTTCACCCTGCGTACAGGGTGATCAGAGGTGCTATGGCTTAGCATGATGCGCCACCCGCTGGTAGTAAAGTAGATAAGGTAAAGTGGATAGGTATTAGCGCCAAGATGTCGTACAACCTGAACTCAGGTTGTGTACCAGGTTAGGGTTCAGGTTGTGCGACATCTTGGTGCGCATACTTCAGGAGGTCCCCACGGACCAGGCATAGTTTTGTAATGAAATAGAAAAAAATATATAGAAAATTAGAAACCTTGAGTAAATAAAATATGCTCATGATCTAGAATAAATAGGTAAAATAACAAATAAAAACAGAAAATATAATTCGAAAAATTGTTAAACTGTCGAGGCAAGATAGTGTCAGAAACAGTGTTTGACACTGGGGAGAAATCCCTTGTTATTTATCATTACTGTACAGCAGGGGTCGGCAACCTTAGAAAGTTGAAAAACGAACGGATGATACTTTTTATAATGAAAATCAAGCAGTGATACATCTCTCGAATAGAATTTATATTTATTTCCTCATTGCATTGCACCTCAAAAAAGTCTATTTATATATTTTCGGCGCCATTGAATCCTTTGCCGTTAGGATCAACATTTTTGGGTTTTGTTGCCGTTTGTCAAATTATAACTAAATTACAGGCTCATTAAACGAGTAATTGTGAATTTTATACTTGTTAGAATATAATATCATTTACTCTACACAAGTCTCACAATAAATTCTGTTAAAGAATATAATCGTCAAAACAGCCATTTTGTTACTATAATTCAGTGAAGCGTCGCGGGCCGGATTATATTACTCCTCGGGCCAGATCCAGCACGCGGGCCGTAGGTTGTCGACCACTGCTGTACAGCTTTCCCATCTGAGGAAGAAATTTCACTTGTATTTGAGCAGAGTATTACTTATTGTGTGTATTATTATCAGTATTTGTTATTGGACACGTTTAGTGGACATAACGAACGTTTCAATATTATGTTGTTATTGTTAATATTTGTCTCCATCATTTTTAAAAAAATCGCTTTTCTCTTCGAATACTGGACCAATCGCTTTGAAATTTTCAGTGGTTAAAGATAAAATTTTTCTCCAGAAGGCTATTACTTTATTTTTTCGCTATGACGTCATCAAAATTATTGCCATTGGGTGGCGCTACGTGCCCATATATTTAAGCATAGCTCTCTTGCTTGTTTAGGATTATTGTAATATGTATTTATACACACATTGAAAATACACGAGGTATAATAATATAAAAAGCATTTCCCATCTGGGGAAGAGATTTATCTTTATATATCAGGTAATGGCAAGTTGTACCAACCCACATGATCAAACTTGGGAGCTCCCGAAGTATGCGAACCGAGATGGCGGACATCGGAATGTAATATGTGTAGTAGGTTAGGGTTAGGCCATAATTTTAGGTATAAATACTACGGGAGGCTCTTGGCTAGTCTTCGAACTGATAATAGGACTAAAATAAGGAAAATAGGAAAAAACTTATCGCCTAACCCTAACCTGTTACCCATGTTACGTTTCGATGTCCGCCATCTTGGTTCGCATGCTTCGGGAGCACCCAAACTTGTGTGAAAACGGTGTTTTCCAACAATCCCTTCCCAGCAAAAAAAATTATCCGTGACTACATTTAAAAAAATTGTCTCAGTATCGAGTAGCGGCAAGCTGTACTAAAGCTATATTATTAAAGAGTTGTAAAGAGGCAAGATAGTGTAACATATAAAAACGAGAATATCGGTTGGAAACCGAAGACGTATCGATCGATAGTTAGGGGATCCCCCAAAACAGAAACTGCAGTTTCGATTCATCCGCTCTTGTAACTTGCGCACTGCGCATCGCACACACACACTCGGCGGGTTTCAAAATTCTCTCGCTTTACAAAAATCTAGATCACTATATCAATAATTGATTGATAACTCGCTAATTATACGACATAATTCGCCCAAAGTCAATAGGATTCTGGTCCGAGATAAGATGAATGCACATGCAAAATCTGGAGCAGATTTAATCCCGCTTTCGTGAGATATCGCGTGCATCTAACAGACACACACACACACACACAGACAGACAGACAGACATACATACAAATACCTATCAATATACTTACCGATCTTAAGATCGATAAGTAATAATAATTCACACCTTGGGCATAACAGTACATGCATAAGGTATATTAATATAAACAGTGTTTGCCAACTGGAAAGGAGCAAAAAAATTCTTCATAATTGTCATTTATTCAGTATTACTGTAATATATTCATAAAAACTGTCTATTATATCTAGAAAAGGTTACATTAGAACATGCATAAGGTATAATAATATGATCAGAATTTCCCGACTGGGAAATTTTAGTTTTATTTGAACACCACAAGCTGGCTGTCAAACATCCTTCACATTAGGATAGGATGGAATTTACATATTTGTCTCGAGGAGAGGAAAGCCGATAAGACGTCTTAATTATATGGCAAACCCTGGCCTCTCGTCAGGTTACCAGTACGTGTCGAGTATAAAATTAGTTGGCCGTTTTTTTTTCAGATGCATAGAACATTAAAAGAGGTAACACACACTGGGGTGGTGATATGGAAAATCTCACATTTTAGGACTAAAATTGGTCCTGGCTTGTTAGCACTGGTATATGAAATTTTCAGATGTCTTTCCAAACAGTGTAAAACATCCAGAACTCTTAAGAATAATGACACACATACAGATCAAGTAAAATAAAATCGATAAAAATAAAACTTTGGTGCTTATCTTATGAACAGAAAAGAACAAAATTGTTCTGCATCGGCACATTTTTAAGATTGACTAGTATTGATAATATTGACTGTTTTTATAAATAAAAAAAAATAAAATAAAAAAAAAAAAAAAAGACAGTAATTCAGAAAACTCACATTTTTAGTGTTAAACTTGGTGACAGTTTGTTAGCCGGAAAACAAGTTATCTAAAATCTTCAGATGTCTTTCCAAACAGTGTAAAACATCCAGAACTCGAAGAATGACGGCACACATACAGCTTGTTTCGTGTATTTCAAGCGACATTCCAGATCTTGAAATTGTTTTTCCACGACGGCGACAGATGAAGGCAGTGCTATCCCATGAGAAAAGTATTTCCCGTCATTTTTCAAGACTTGCATAGACAGAGACAAAATTTGTCGAGAAAATGCTATTTGATCGTCGGACTGGTTCACGTCTATCGGAATATCAGTAAGGTCGTTGATAACATAGTCAAATTTTTTCTTTCTGACGCATATTTTTCAAGGTACACGACACAATCGCTTATGATAATTTCGTAATTTTCACCACTGAGGGAGTCAAGAGCATCATGGCAAATTCCTCGCAAATGTATTTTCGCTGCGTCAATAACCATTTGGTCGATATCAATCATTGTTATCATAGAAGGGCCGCGATCTCGTAGATAATGAAGTATTCCCCCGTCCCCTCCTCCTAAGATCAACACATTCTTATCTTTGTAATCTTCCTTATCATATCCAGTGATAGCTCGAGTGTATTCGAGATCACTTTCTGATAAATTCAAATTATTATCGAGGAAAAGACATTTTCCATATTGCTTCGAATTCATAATTCTAATATGTTGATACGGCGAGACCTCGTCAAAAACTACGGAGTCAAAATCAAACTCAAATAGCCAGCCGTCCTCGCAATCATACGTAGAAAATGGACGCCCACGTTTCAAACTCGGGATGGAAGGGAAATATCTCGTTCTCGGCGGTTCCACGAAACTTAACAAGCGAATATTTTTCTCAAATTTTGAAACTTTTGCTTTAAAAGCTCCGTTAGTGACACCAGGTGTGCTGATATCAAGAGTCAGGAGCACGCCATCATATTCGAAGCCCCGTACCAAAACACTGATGCCAGATTTCGAAGTGAAAAGGGCTAAAAAATCCAACATTAAATGACTTGTACATGAGATTGCAATCACTGCACAAATAATTTTTAATCAAATCCGATACATTTTTGATGATTTCTTCCGCTTTATCTTTCTCTAAAGACCCAGATTTGAGTCGTGCTTCAAGTAGCCACGTATCCATAGCAACCAGATCAAAGTCCAATAAAAATCCTTCAATGGTTTAAAATTTGCTTCAAAATTGGGGAAAAGTACTGCTAAGGCATGCTAAGAGCTGCGCAAGTTTGCTCAAAACATAGACACTCAACCAGAAGTGGGTCCTGGTATAAGTTTGCCTAAAGCAGGGTCATGAGCCTTCAAGCACTGTGAGCAGTTAGTGATGTCCAAACAGCTAAAAATATAAATATGCTTAAAGCAAGTTTGCTTGAAGATTCAAATTCCTCAATCCAAAAAGATGACGATAGAGGAGTTACAAACAGTCATTGGAGTGCAAAGAGCTGTCACAACTCACAAGTTTGCTCAAAGCAAGGTCCCGGGCCCTCAACTACTGGAAAGAGTACTGATAAATGAGTTGCAAGTTCGCTCAATGCAAAGTTCCAAGTCCTCAAGTCTATGTGGAATGAGTCATGATAGAAGAGTTTGCAAGTAGCCAATGATACTCTTATCAGTTAGATACAGATATATCCCTGTGACATTTCAAGTCAGCGCTGTCAAGGAAATATAGCAGAAACTTGTTCCATTCAAATTTTAAAACAGCAACAATGTTGGTTAATGATTCCGTAGTCCTAAAGATTGATGGGAATATCCATGTATTTTTGTTCCGACAGAATTGAATTTTGATTGGTTAAAATAATTCCAAATACCATCTTAAATTAAACAACCTGTAATAAATTAAAATGAAAAATTATTTATAATCAGCATGATGATAAAAATTGCAAAATAGGCAAAATTTGAGTATTCTAGTAACAATATACCTGGCAGAACTAAAAATTATTTTCACCTCGTTTAAAATATGTTGACGAAATAGGAACTGTGTTGGGCAGGAACGGCAAAAATTGAATCTATTTCGAATATTTGTTCATATTGAAGTATTCTCGGGCCCGTGGACTATGGAAAAATCCACCAGAAAAATTCAGTTGTAAAAATTGTAAGCACTTGTAGAACATAAAATATTTTCAGTTTGTTTTAAAAAAAGATGACGAAATAGGAACAGTGTTTGGCAGAAATGGCTAAAATTAAATAATTTTAAATCTACCCTGATTACATACAGAGTTTCCCCAAAAATGAGACCGGGTCTTATTTCTATTTTCTTTTGAAAAATAATGCTAGGGCTTATTTGAGGCGATGTCTTTTTTTAATTTATCAAAAACAAAAAATTCAAAGTAGAGAATTATGAGATTTTCAAATATACAAAAATATGACAATCGATATTAATTTACTTCAAAATAACACGTTTTTATCTTTGCAATATCTACTAGATCTTATCATAAGGGATGGGCTTACTTTCAAATCATTTTAAAATTCAGACTAGGTCTTATTTTTAAGGGGAGACAAGGAATATATTATATTTGTTCATATTTAAGTAATCTCATGCCTGTGGACTATAGGAGAATTCACAATTGATCAGGAAAATTTGAATTTGACCTAAAGTCGTAAATGATTAAAAAGCAAATTAAAGTTTTGTGCATGTCGGACCTTTCCCTACCCCTTCTCGCTACGCTGGAGTACCTGTACTATTTGGGTATTCTGAACCAATTATCACTAATTATTTTCTGAGAGTTTGAAGATACAACTCCATTTCTTATTCCATGGTCTAATAGTTGAAAAAAGTTGACAAAACTGAAAAATTAAAAACTAAGTTTGAAACTAAAGTTGACAGATATTTGGAACTTTGAAAACAAAACACAGTAATGTTCAAAAACGTTATTAAGTAATACAATGAATTTTACAGTAATTGAAAAGGTAAAGCAAAAACTGGAATGCCAAATAAAAAACAGTTCAATAGTTGAAATAAGTTGACAAAGCTATTAAAAACTTAATTTGGAACTAAAGTTGACAGAAATCAGGAACTTACAAAACACAGTAACGTTCAAAAACGTTATTGAGTACTACAATGAATTTTACAGTAATTGAATAGGTAAAAGCAAAAACTGAATGCCAAATAAAAACATCATGTTGGTTGGGTGCTACCCTGCTATTGCCATAACCCAGGGGCATAACAAGATATTTTTAGAGGGGGGGGGGGTCAAAAATTTTCAGAGAGGGCCGGTAAATATGGGTTTTTCATGCATCTTGAAAGTTTAAAAAGCATTTCAAGCTAGAAAAAATTGCTATGCATGACACGGAAATATTTCTTTCTTTTTACATTTCAAAAGGGGGGAATTCCGACCTGCAGTCGGCAGTTACAGTCAAATAGTTTGATAAGACATGATCCATTCTTTTTTAAATTAATCACAAATTTTTAATAACGAAAGACATTGCTTGTGAACCAGTAAGAACTGTCCCGTAGACCTCTCGGCTTAGGGTACCTGTTTGAACTGCCATAAATTTAAGATAAACTAAAAAGGTCGGAAATTAGATGCTGGGCCCTAACGAGATAGCACCCAAATTAGAAAGTATAGAATGCATGAACTGCATAGTATTTGAAGCTTCATCTGCACATGGTAATGAATTTAAAAAACTAGAATATCGGTTAAAAAAAGAAGACTTGTCAATCGAAGGTTAGGGGATCCCCCAAAACAGTGGTCTTACTCCATAGTGACACTGTGTGTCCCATCACTAATTAATTAATAACTCGCTAATTATACGACATAATTCATCCAAATTAATAGGCTTCTGATCCGAGCTAAGATGAATGCCCATGCAAAATTGCTTTCGTGAGATATTGCGTGCATCTAACGCACAGACATACAGACAAATACCTATCAACATACTTACCGATCTTAAGATCGATAAGTAATAACTGCAAATATTTCTAATGATTTTAAACCAGGGGTATGCAACCTTTAATACGAGAGGGCAAGATAGGAATATCTGAGTGAAATCGCGGGCCGCACGTTTATTCAACATAGGCTTTCTAGTAGTTGCAAGCACAAAACTTTGGTTACTGATTTTATGACACGCGTTGTTAGCTCTGCATAAGCTCAGGTATAAGTTTTGCAATGCAAAGGAATAGGAATTACCTGCACATACTAGATTGGACTAAATTGAAAACTCGTTTCGTCGGCCAAACACTATTCAAAATTGGGCACTTCTCTGCGGGTCTCATAATTTTTTCCTTGTGGGTCGCATTTGGCCCGCGGGCTGCACAGCCCTGCTTTTAAACAATTATGAGTTTGGGTTCCTAGTTCAATTCCGACCCATTACAGCCACCCCGAAGAATAAAGTGGCAACATAACAGAGGGATTTGGTTATGAGCGTAAAAACAATGAAGCATGACTTGCAGCATTAGTTCCACATATCTCAAATGAGCATATTCTGCCAAAATATATGTTATGATAATTTTAGTTGAAAACGAGATGATTGCATTTAATCATATTTGAAAAAATGAAGAATGACTTGCAGCATAAGTTCCATATAATTCAAATGAGCATATTCTGCCAAAATATAAGTTATGATTCACAAGAAAAATCGCTATGATTGCGCTTTATTCTAAAAATGTGATGAGGCCTGATTGAAATCTGACAATATGTAAAGAGTACCTTTTATTATTTGAACTTGAATATGGAATTTTCTTTTTAATAAATAAAATTAAACTTAAATCATAATTTTCAATCAACATCAGAATAGGCAAGCCTATATATAAATTCTAAAATAGCACCTCTTCCATTTACCATTAATTGACCTGAATCCTTCAAGCGCAACTTGGCAGAATTCACAGAATTCATAAATCATTGAAGCGTGATTAGACAGAATTCACACAATCTATAAACCAATGAAGCGTTACTAGATAGAATTTACACAATCTATAAACCATCGGAGCGTGATTAGACAGAATTTACACAATCTATAAATCAACGTAGCGTGATTAGACAGAATTCCCACAATCTGTAAACCAATGAAGCGTGATTAGACAGAATTTACACAATCTATAAATCATCGTAGCGTGATTAGACAGAATTCCCACAATCTGTAAAACCAATGAAGCGTGATTAGACAGAATTTACACAATCTATAAATCATCGTAGCGTGATTAGACAGAATTCCCTCGATCTGTAAACCAATGAAGCGTTACTAGACAGAATTTACACAATCTGTAAATCATTGAAGCATGATTAGACAGAATTTACCTAATCTATAAACCAATGAAGCGTTACTGGATGGAATTCACACAATCTATAAACCAGGGTTTCCGAAACTGGGGTTTGAGATGATATGAAATAAGTCTGAAACATATACAAATAAATCATGATCTTATCAACATGCCGTTGACCTGCCAGTATTCATAGATAGTATGTATTTGTTCAAACTTAGATGAGTTTTATTTCGGTAATGGAAACATTATCCTTCCTCGTTGGTCAGGCACAAAATTTGATATGACATAGGATGGGGGCCCGTCAAAATTATATTCACTAACAGCGGTCTGCCGCCCGAAAAATTTGGGAAATTCTGCTATAAACCATCTAAGCGTAATTAGATAGCACTCAAACAATTTTTAAATCATTAAAACATGATTAGACAAAATTTATACACAATCTTAAACCATCGAATCGTAATTAGATAGCACTGAAACAATTTTCAAATCATTGAAACATGATTAGACAAAATTTATACACAATCTTAAACCATCGAAGCGTGATTTGACAGAATTTACACAGAATAATCTAATGAGGTGTGACAATCTTTAATAAAAATCATTCAAACATGACTAGACAGAATTCACAGGATCGATTACCTCTATCAAAGAATAACAGCCTAACTAAAAACTCATAGGTAGTCGGATTAGACAGAATTCCCACTACTAGAGGGCTTTGCCCCAAAAAGGCAAAACTGGAGAAAGATGTTCTGAGAAATTGAAAAAAAAATTGTGAACGGTTGCTTCTTTTTGGAATACTATCGCTTCAAACTATGATTAGATACCAACTTGAAGTACACATATTTTAATGTGATATTTCCTTATTGAAGTGTTTCAATTTCGAATAAAATTCATTTGAATATGACTAAACAGGATTTACACAATTGATAACTTTATTGAAGCGTGCCGGCACAACTGAAAATCACCAAAGCGCGATTAGACAAACTTTATAAAATAGAACCAATTCCCCTATTAAAGTCAGATTAGACAGAAAGGGGCATTTAACTAAGAGACAAAACTAAAGGGCACCAATGAATATTTTCTATTCTTAACTCCTTACTCTAAACATTTTATTGAATTACTTTGAATGAATATTGCTTCAAACTAGGATCAGATACCAGCTTTAGAGAGGACTTTTTTCATAGTGATATTTCCAAATTAATTTTCTCGACAATTCAACAATCTTGAATCCTATGAATCCTTCCATATAGTGTAGAAAACCCATTGCTCTAAATAGGACGGCACACAGACCTCTTTCTTCGTGTATTTAACGCGACACTCCAATTTCTCGAGCTGCGTTTCGTACATTGCGAGTGCATTTTGAGCCAGCAGTGAGTTTCCCTTGAGTGAAATATTTTCCATCATTTTTCAGAACTTTCATTGACATCGATAATATGAGACGCAAGAAATCCCAGTGGTCGCCTACTGGCTCGGTGCTAACTGGAATCGCAGTTAGGTCGTTAATTATATAATCAAACGTTTTCTTTTCTGCTACATATTTTTTGAGATATTTTACACAATCGTCTACTATGACTTCATAATTTTCACCAGAGAGTGAGTCAAGAGCATCGTGGCAATTCCTCGCAAATGTATTTTCGCTGCGTCAATAACCATTTGGTCGATATCAATCATTGTTATCATAGAAGGGCCGCGATCTCGTAGATAATGAAGTATTCCCCCGTCCCCTCCTCCTAAGATCAACACATTCTTATCTTTGTAATCTTCCTTATCATATCCAGTGATAGCTCGAGTGTATTCTAGATCACTTTCCGATAAATTCAGATCGTTATCAAGAAAAGACAACCTCCATATTGGGGTGACTCCATAATACGAACATGCTGATACGGAGAGACATCATCAAAGTGAACACCTTTAAATCTCGCTCTACTAAGAGACCGGTGAGCAAATCATACTTCGAAAACAATCTCCTCGTTTTAAACTCGGCCATGGTAAAAAGCCTGGTGTTTTCAACTCTTCAACAAAACTCATTTTTTTGATTTTATCATTAAATTCACTTAGTTGCACCTTGAAGCATGAGTCATCAATTTTTGGAGTACTAATATCAATAGTCAGTAAAGGATAGAGGTTTACAGATTTGTTTCCTCGGAGTAAAACAGTCTCGCAGAATTTTGCAGTGAAGAAAAGCTATGATTCCATTATTGAATGACTTATGGACCAGCTCGCTTTCGATTCCCAAAACTTTTCGGATTAGCCCGGATAATTCATCTATTAGATCTGCGGCCTTGTCTTTTTCCAAACATTCAGGTTTGAGATGATATTCCGTTAGCCAGGTATCCATGGTGTCATACGATATGATACTTTCATAGAAAACTATTAAGCTATGTTAGCTGTAAATGTGCAAATGTACAATAGAAAACAGTTTCCTCTTACAGCATGGCACACTATCCAAATTCCAAGAATTTCTCTTTATTCGGCTCAATAAAATAAACACTCTATGTGTCTAACAAACAAGGGGCGTCTGGCACCACGTCAGATGCTCCATATCGTACCATGCTTGTCTCAATAATAATCTAAATTAATCGTGACCGAATTAATCGCTAACTCTCGAATGCCACGGTAATTTTTTTTCCTCTTGTAAATCGGCTTATTTTTTCCCCGAGGAATTCAATGATGACATTATTAGATTGCGTTTATTTGCAGCATTTGCGCAACTTCATTATACTGTATTATTACCGATATTGAGGGACAACAATGTCCAAACGTCTTCCAAAGAAGGGGTGTCTGTTTATCAGTAAAATGGGATTCTCTAAAACTAGACAATGTTGCTCGATCTGTATAGTGTGCTCCTATCACCAAACAGTAATAGTACCAGGGCCCTACTTTAATTGCTTACCTCCTGCAAATACTGAAGTTATATCCTGGCCGCAAAATCTGGAGTTTTTTCAATCCCCCCCCCCAGCGTAATAACTCGTTCCTCACTCTTCCCCACTATAAATATGGCCACAATCGGCCCGTCAAGACATTTAGTGTAGCCCTTTTCAACAATCTGATTTTCAAGCAATTTGGCATTTGACTCCAACTATAATCAGGTGGCAAAGCATATTTTTTTTGAATGTCTTTATATTAAATACAGTTCCCTCATATCTCTGTATCTACAAAATCTGTATTCAATTTGGGAATTTTTACAAAATTATTGAAAGGGTGTGGCAAACAATTCTTAGTCTTTATTCTAATTTCTTTTTTACCTATTTATTTTTTTTGTTTGTTTACTCATTTAAAGCTTCTCTTTTTCTAACTTTATTATAGCCCTATCAGATTATGGTTGTGTTGTGCGCGAATGAACTGATTCAATAATTTTATGTGAGTGAACGCGTACCACTTCTTTTTGGCAATACCTTCCATCCTATATTCTGTATATTTTAAACCTTATCCAAGGTTTTGTCTGCTCTCCTGATTTCATAAACAGTTTTTATTTATTTGTTTTTATCAATCGTTTTATCGCCTTTTATGCTGATTACAGGATTATTGAGTCGAAATAAACTTACCGTATTGTATCTCTAATCATACAAAAGGACGGTTTATATCTTGGGCACTCACATGGGTAAATATACATACTGACATAATGATTTTTGTTCTCGTCACTGTGTTGAATTTTTTGACGAAACTTTATTTATTATTACTGTATACACATAAAAAATCAAACACTAACACCTGTTTAAACATGAGCATTCCATACCACATTTATATTATGTGGTATCATCACTCAAGGGTGTTGTATTTATGTCCAAATTCTAAATTTTAGTATTATTTATACATGCAGTTTATTTGTGTTGTGTTATATTTTATTTATGGATGTTGTCTTGTCTTACAAATTCCCTTGTACAAACAGTTTTGTATACTCCACCCTTACCCTTGTCACCCCACTCACCCACTCTCCTTGCACAACTGTCTGTATAAGGGACCATATTATACCGGTACTGTTATATGTATTCGATTTATTTCTATTCAAAACTTATTAAAGAGGGTGCATGCCGCACGTTTTTGTTTTAGGCCATCGTTTTTGTTTAGGCCATACCGGTACATCCAGTCATCAGTAATGATACCGTAATCTATCTACGCTTTTGTTGCTTTTTACGAGATATATAAACATACATACATACCCTACAAGGCTAAGCGATAGCCACGGGTGTACCAGTACCGGTATGAACTACAATGCGTTACCGGTACCCTATTTCTGCATTTTAATATAGCCTACTGTTATGCCTAACCGTAAGCCGTACCGTAAAATTGAAACTACTGTATCCCCACAATCGTAACGGGCACCGGTAACCGTTGCTGCAGTATAAGTATAAGTTTATTTCGACTCCAGTTTGGCCTACCGGGTACGGTAGTCTAACGGTGCCCAAAACTGCTGACAGTGAGCGGTTACAAACAAACTTCCGCCTAATGACGAAAAAGCACTGATTTGGCCGGGTAACCTGAGGTCAAAATGCTCATATTTATATCATCTAATTTCAAAAATTAGCAAGTGTCCTGCCCCCAATGACGAAATTGTGTAGATGACGCCATTGAATCATGCGACGGTCCTCAGCTCTGGAAAAGTCATGAGATTTGGGGCGTTTCGGGGCGCGTGAGAAAGAGAGAGATTGAAGTGGTGAGGATAGGATAGGATTTACATATTTATCCCGGGGGAGAGGAAAGCCGATAAGACGGCTTATCCATATGGCGAACCACGGCCTCTCGTCCGGTTACCATTCCAAGTCGGGTATGAGATTAGTTATTTTGTTTGTTTTCGAGAGCATGGACTTGGTGGTGGAGGAAGCCGTAACCGACCAGCGGTTACGTAAACCACCCAACGACGGCGAGGAGTCCAGCAATCCTCTCGCACATAACCATCCCTACATGGGATTCGAACCTGCGAACCCACGCAGAGTAATTAGAGGTGCGGTGGCGAGCGTATTCCTAACGCTTAGCCCGTTGAGCCACACCGCCGCGCCTTTGAGCCACACCGCCGCGCCGTGAGATTATTGAAAGCACAGCAAAACACAGCTTTCCGTATGGTCACGAATTATCTATAATGTCATTCATTAGTTACGTTTGAATTCACGTCTTTTATGTTTCCATATGCCATTTTGCTGAATGCTCATCCAATAAATGTCGTCTCTCCACTGAGCACTTTCGGATTTGCATTGTAAGACTCCGATCACTCTCATGAGGCGCGAATCAAAATATGGTTATCTTTCTTTGTCGAGTAGGATAGGATCGACATATTTATCCCGAGGGAGAGGAAAGTCGATAAGACGTCATAGGATTTACATATTTATCCAGAGGGAGAGGAAAGCCGATAAGACGGCTTATCCATATGGCGAACCACGGCCTCTCGTCCGGTTACCATTCCACGTCGGTATGGGATTAGTTTTACTGTATTGTTTGTTTTCGGAAGCATGGACTTGGTGGTGGAGGAAGCCGTAACCGACCAGCGGTTACGTGAACCCAATGACGGCGAGGAGTCCAGCAATCACATAACCATCCCTGCATACGATTCGAACCTGCGAACCCACGCAGAGTAATTGGAGGTGCTTTTTTTCTTTGCTGATGAATTTTCTATTTTGAACGTTTGCTGCTTTCCGCCGTCCTAGATATTTATCTATATTTTTTACTAGTCTTTGAAACTTGTTAGTTAGCCACTCACTTATTTTTCCTTGACTCCTTGCTGCTCCAGCATAGATGTCTCACGCCCTTTCCTCCTCTAGCCTGGATGTTCTCTTTTTTATTCCCATTTTATTTTTGCTTCTCACTCACCACTCCCTTTCCTTGTCCAGCCTGGCTTTCTATGACAGCTTGCTGGTACCTCTTGATTTTATTCCCATTCCATCCTTGCTGCTCACCCACTTATCTTCTTTCCTTGCTGCTCCGGCCTGATTGGCCCACTCCTTATCCAATCTAGCCTGGTAAGCTTGCTACTGGTTTCACTTGCTTCTATTTCAATTTCTTCTTTGCTGCTGCCTTTGCCTCCGCGTGCCACCTGTCTTGCTGGTCTTTTCCTACAACTCCGCGGGATTCGAACCCAGCCTCATGTTTAACCATGTCTCTACGCTCCTCCTGCGCCATCGCTGCTGACGATGATCGATTGGACCAAAATCTTACTTAATTTACAACGTCACACTTCGCAGCCCACGACGAGGCTAATTACCCCGATCCAAAATATAATGGAAACCTTTGAGATTATTTTGGTCGCGTCAGCGGACATAACGATCGTTTTGCATTTTATGCTGGCACTCTTCTTGTTCTTATTTGTATTCTTCTTGATATCGTTGATTACTGGCCATTTGCTTTGAAATTTTCAGTGAGTAAATATTATATTTTCCACTAGAGGGATATTACTTTTATTGGACACGTTTAGTGGCCATAACGATCGTTTCAAAATTTTGTTGTTGGACACGTAGTGGACATAACGATCGTTTCAATATTATGTTGTTGTTGTTCTTGTTCTTGTTCTTGTTGTTGTTCTTGTTCTTGTTCTTTGACACGTTTTTAAAAAGTCGCTTTTCTCTTCGAATACTGGACCAATTGCTTTGAAATTTTCAGTGGTTGAAGATTAATTTTTTCGCTAGAAGGCTATTACTTTTGTTTATTCTTAAATTTTATATGAATCCTATGAGATATGATTTCATACAAAATTTCGCGGTATTTATTTTTACTCATGGGAACACTGTTTTACACTTATTTCAAGCGGTTTCGCGATCGATTGTCTTGCTCAGTACTACAGCTACTGTAGGTCGATACTGGTAAGTTGCCATACCGGTGCCGTAACGCAGTGAAATTGACTTATTCCTTCCGCGGTATTACTAATGCTGCAATGCAAGTTTTATAGCCTATCGTATGCGGAACGGAATATCAGACCTACAGGTTCGGTACCGGTACTGGTAGCTCAGTACGTAAGTACGATACTGGTACTGGTGCCGGTACCGGTGTCTTACCACAATGAAATTACCGTAACTTATTCTTTCACGGTCCTACCAGTGCAG